TTACTGAACAACCGATTAACTGAATAAGTAACTAACTAACCAACCAACTAAGTAACCAACTAACTGACTGACTGACAAACCAACTAAATGAGTGACTAAGGTTGTCTCATCCGGAAATATGGTTGAAAGCAACCAATGATAGTCGGTTTTTCAAAGAATCGTCTGTTCTCGAAAGGAGTTGACCATTACAATACTATATGTGGTCTCTGCTACAGAAGAACAATGTCGGGACAAAGTAACTTGAGAGACGACAACACGAAATAAAAATTCCTCTGCTTTAGGAATTGCTTTTGTCGAGGAAATACTTGCTGGATGGTTTTGTTAGACAAGATATCCTAGGCATTAATTTTGTAATATTTATTGGTAGAAAGAAATTATCGGCCTCTCAAAGAGTTGAACAGTGACAGCCCTAGGCCTGAAATCAATGGACCTGAGGAAAAACTCTCAGGGGGATACTGTAAGTTGTAAGACAACTGAAAACAACTGAATTGAAAAGTCAAAATGAATTCCAATGCAAAAAATGCGGAGGCCATAAGATTTAATAATGCGTTACCAGTCTGATTTTCAGCTAGCCTGTTTTTCGGAGATTGCAAGTGTTCCTTCCATATTCTGAGACTCAAGATCAGAAAAAAATGTTTTGCAAAAAAGGTCTTAGTTGATTTTCACTGCTACGCTGTCATCCGTCCGTTCAACTTACGGTCAAAATCGGATAAGATTATCGCCCTTTGGTTTGAGATCCTTATCTGTCACAGGAAATCAGTATTACATCACTCACAACGCACAAAAGCTCTATTCTTTATAGGCGTAAACAAAGCATGCCGGACGATTCTTCCCCCTGGATTGGTGTGAGCAAGAATTTGCTTTGTTTATCCGATGCGTCTCAAGGTCGCATCTACCCACAAACTCCGAATCCGTTGGGTGTTTTTCGGTATCAAGGCTGTGTAGATCCAGACGACTTGAAATGGTAAACAAACATTGGTTGTCATTCCTTGTCTTGGGATACGCTGACGGAAAACCTCAGTTTACTTACTGACGATAATAGCATTTAGAGATGTTGGAGCTGTGATTCACCTCAACAGGCAAGATTTATACGTGCACTGCATCTGATTCCTCTTGAATAACTGCGAGAAATGGAGTCCTGTTTTTTCTCAACCCTCTTTGGTGGAACCCNAAAATGTTTATTTACCCATGTGTACCCAAAAAACTCCTAGAAAAACAATTTTGCCTTTTTCTGTCTGACGGTTGGCTTCTGTTCAAACTGTGCTCCCTATGGATTGATGATTCATTTACAACGCTTTTTTCAGAACTGTTTGCTTTGAGATTTCAGACAACGTTCCGCCGGTGTACGATCGGAGCGGATAGGATGCTTGCTTCTTGAAGCATCTTTTACACCTCAGGCGTTGCGTCAACTGGGGTTGGGCAATCCATTAAGCGTTTACATCAATCCACTGATCCTATTTGAAGACTTTGACATTTTTACGGTGAATTACTACTGTTCAATAATTTCACCCAGCAAATGATAAAAGGCTCAAACCGTCAGTCACTAAGGGGGTGTATTCGGGACCCAGACAGTGATGATACACTTAATTTGGCCTCTGGCAAAAAGGCCCCAGTTTGGAATCCATCCGGAAGGCAAAGCCAATATACACTAGAATGCAGTGGTATCGTTCCAATTGTGTGTCCCATTAGGCATTATGGTACAACCAGTGGGAAGCAGGGTTGGTTGCTCATAGAGCACGTTAACCAAACTAATTATCCAGAGAAGTGGCTGGTGAAACCAAACAGAGGAATTTGAATATGAGATGTGGGATTTATGAAGGACTGCATTCCACGTTGTCTTAGATCTGTGAAACTAACGTGCAAAAGCATTAAGTATAAACTCGACACGAATATGCTGATAATATTGAAGCTTTCAAAATTGAATTTTGATTGCCTCAGCTTAGCGTTTTTTCAAACTTAGCGATAAGAAAACAGTTACTGTTCAGTGGATGAAACACTATCAATTTGCTTAATTACTGTAGGAAGTCCCATGTAAAATGAGTAGTTTTTTAGCCACAGACAACTCGACTATTACAGAACTAGCCCATACATATTTGAAATTATATCACAGTCAAAAATAAACTGTTCTTCACGTTGCGTTTCTGAATAACTGCACGTTTTGAGGATGTGAATGACGAAAAATTGCTGTTGTTTGACGTCACTGTCCTGATCACGTCAATCAACCGCAAAGTTTTCTCGAGAAAAATTGACGGAATTGCAGCAGTAAAATCCAAACATAACACGCGTGATGGAACGGATATATAATCCAAGTTTGATGGATAAGTTTACCAACCAATAGGATCGTTCATGTCAGGATTTATTGCTGAAGGGACGATATTCAACCTTAAATTTCAATTTCACCATTTAGACGGAAAATCTTTCATTGTAACACTGTTTACAATGTGGTACATATATGAACTACTGAGCAAATTATCCGAAAACATTAGATACGGAAGTGACCTTGAGAAGGACAGTCCACATGTCCGGCTAGCATGACTACTCTTTTAAGAAGGAAAACCCTTCGCCGCGAAGTTACCTATTATCAAACAACAAATAAACAATTGAGAACTCCTGGAGAGGAAAGTAAGCGTCCCATATGCATATATTTTTTGAAAATTGGACAATCTCACGCGTCTTCTTGAACGTTCATGGATATTCATTGACTGTCAGACACTTGTAAACGAACACTGCAAGGCAGTTCCACAGGTCCCTTAACAAACTTTACCTTCCATTAGATGCAGGGCGGAGCTTTGAGAAAACCACAGACTACTCGCATGCATCATCAGTAGTATGCGCCATTACACTGGTAGTATTTTTCAAACTTGCGTACATCGAGAGATAGCTCATCTATATCATGAGCGAAAATGCTACAGCAACCACCCAATAAAACACGAGAATATTTGCACGTATACACCAATATCAGGAGGGTGAGGACACAGAGAAGTACGAATGAACATAGAACTTAAGAATATTCTGAAACACTTTCTGCTAAAAAGTTGTATCACAAAGAAAATGTACGTAAGAGAAGCCGAGTAGCAACAACGACAAAAGCCGCAGTCTCAGCGTGCATCGAAATTCACTGAAGCACACAGCATGGCCACTAAAATATTCTACCCACAGAATCAACTCTACATTGATGGAGCTGGCTCAAAGGCCGAAGAGGGAGATCGACCAGACCGAATTTAGCGTATTGAATTTCATAAGTCCTGTGTAGATCAGACAAGATGAAAACTACCTACACGGATCAAAGTACACAATCAAGCAATCGGGAGGCATTGTTGCCTCCTGTTATTTATAAAAGAGGACCATAGTAACACATTTAAGCTGTACAACATGAAGCTATTGACACACAAAAACGTGAAACAAGCGGGAAACTTCCTAATGTCCTAATAATCTGTTACAAACTCAAATAATTGACGTAAAAATCGATCCAATCTACATGACACTAGAAACAACGAATCGGAGCAGGCGACGTGAACAACAAGCGTGAGTCGATGTATCAAAAATCAACTCAGACAAGCCGGAGAGATCAAACTCAAAGTTATCCGAACGCCAACAAATCGGGAAGTTAGATGACTGTTTAAAAAAGGGTCGAACGTCTGAGCGACTAATCACGGATTTAACCTCACCCTTCCAGGCCAAACAGCTGTGTACAACCAGGTATAATCATGTATAACTAGACTGTTCAACGCTTTCGCGAGAATGCACCAATTCGCACCGCTAACTTACTAAGTAATGATGTCATCTCAGCCGGTGATGAAACGTTTGCAACCAAATGGGCAGGGTCACCGAACAAGGGAATCAACCATTTATACAAACTGAACTACCACCTTCTTGAAGGCATTGCTGCCTGGTTTAATCAGCATGCCTTTACTGCAGCTCATTTGTCTCTGTGGTAAAAACCAGTTGCTTTTCAGTCGTTTATAGCCCTACGGAGGTGTGCTTACAGATATTTTCTTTCACTGGAGTTTTATCACAACTGGTTTTAAAGTACGCTAAAAGCAGTGGTGGAAAATAAAAGTGAAACAGTATGCCTCAAGTAACAATGAACTTGTGCAAGTCAACTAGTTGATGGTATATTTGTTCAAATTACAACAATGTTGCAGCGCAAAATAAAAAAAA